AGCACTCTCCAGAAGGTTCATAACATCGGTCTTCGTAGCCGCCTTTCGATCCAAACTGTACTCATCTTTCTTCAACCCAATCGTTCGTCGAATAACAACCTCATCTTTACCCGTCAGGAATCGCTCGTCGGAGTTGTCGAAGATAACCTCGACGTAGGCGCTCATGACAGCTTGTCCGGAACCTTCGTGTAACAGAGCCTGTCGCTCCTCCCTTCCCATCTGTGTGTAGGCATCGGATAGTACGAATCGAATCGCTAGAGATCCAGAACCCGGGGTTAGCAGCTAGGTTCCAACGCAGGTAGTAAAGGACGTTCTCTCCGTACCAGCGAAGAAATTGCTCTTGCCAGAGCCATTGCGACCGACGATGACATTGTGCCCGGGGCTGAACGGTTCGATAATCGTCTGGTCCTTGTAGCTATCCTACAAGTTAGCTTTCCGAAGACACATAGAGGGGTGGTGGTGCAAGAACCTTTTGAAGCCCTGGATGATGATCTGTTTGATATGCATGATTGCTGTCGATGAAGAGGATGCCGTTCACCAGCGGCTAAATCGAAGGTGGGGGTAAATGTGACGATGATGGAGAAGGAAAAGGGTTTCTTATCGTAAAATCGAAAAACAGTTGCTTGCGCCCCGAGTTGTATTGGTGGAACGCGTCGCGTTGGGTTTCGTCGTCGATGGCGGTTCCGACTGACAGGTGGAAACGCCAACCGAGATGGTTTTCTGGGGAGGGCAAGAACTGCCGAAGTCGAAAAAATGACATCCAACACAACCCAAGCAGCACTATAGCTCCCACCTTGTCATGACATCAATCTGACTACTTTGCACCGACAAGTTGGGATCTTTAGCTTGGAGATTTAAGAGGCGGTTTTTACTAGCAGTGCTCAACGGAGGCCGTTAGAGATAACATTTACCAACATGGAGGACCAAACTAAAACAACAGTCGTAGAGCATCAAGATGCAAGGAATGATGCTGGCGGCGTGAGTATCGAACCTGCTGAGGCTGCCCCAGGTCAAAATGGAGAAGAACAATACGGAGAAGAAAACGATGATGATGATGACGATGACGAAGACCTCCTTGACGATACTTGGACATTAACCGACCTCACTTCGACATCCGGAGACCTTACCAAGCAATATACCCGTCAAAAGAAACTACTCCAAGCTGAGAGGGATCCGAATATGCACAAATCACAGCTCCCCAGAATAAACCCACAGGGCCAGTCAGGAAAACAAAAGCCCAAGGGAAATATGGAAGCAAGAATAGACGATCAAATAGCAAGTTTATCCAAGTTTGCACATCGTATAAAACTTGACGATGCTGCAGCTGGTATGATAGGGAAAGGACCAAGGTATATATTATATAGATCTCAAATCGATTATCTTCCACTCACAAAATTGTATAGAAACACCGACAAAGCCGATCGAGCTACAACTGAACTTGTGCTCGATCCAAGAACACGCATGATTCTCCTAAAAGCCATAAACAAGGGCATCCTAGAATCCGTAAACGGTTGTCTATCAACCGGTAAAGAAGCAAACGTCTACCACGCCGTCTCTGGCGAACTCGAAAACCCAGGCCGCCAAATTGCAATCAAAATCTACAAAACCTCAATTCTAGTCTTCAAAGATCGCGATAGATACGTCAGCGGCGAATACCGTTTCCGCCATGGCTACCAAAAGTCCAACAACCGACAACTAGTTAAACTATGGGCTGAAAAGGAAATGCGAAACTTAAAGCGAATATACACAGCTGGCATCCCGTCCCCAGAACCACTACACTTAAAACTTCACGTTTTATTCATGGAATTCCTTGGAAATAGCGAAGGGTGGCCGTCGCCCAGGTTAAAGGATGCAACTATCCCACCGTTAGAAGGTGAACCGGATAACTCTAGCGCATATCGAAAATTATACATCGAACTCCTCTGCATCATGCGCAAAATGTTCCACGTGACCCACCTGGTCCACGCAGATCTTTCGGAATACAACATTTTATACCACAACGGGAAACTCTACATTATCGATGTTTCCCAGTCCGTCGAGCACGACCATCCCAGATCTTTAGAATTCTTGAGAATGGATATCAAGAATGTTTCGGATTACTTTGGCAAACAAGGAGTTCGCTGTCTCAGCGAACGGAAATTGTACGAGTTTATCACAGAAGTCGATGGATCCAACGAGGAAGACAAGATGACTGAAAGAATTGAAGAACTATTGAAGGAAGAGCTTAAAAGTGGTGTTAGCGATGAGCAGCGCGGGGTCGAGAATGAAGTTTTCAGACAGCAATATATTCCGCAGACTCTCGAGCAGGTTTACGACGTCGAGAGAGACGCGGAAGTCGTCGAGAAAGGAGGGAAGGATAAACTGGTGTATAAACATCTTTTGGTGGATGGTAAGAAGGTACACCCGGATGAGGAAGAGGAGAGTGAAGATGATGGCGAAGAGCAAGATGAAGAGAAGGACGATGACGATGAATCAAGTGTCGATGAGTCTCAATTCAACAAAACACCTCGAGGTAGAAAACACGAAGACAAGGATGAGAAAAAGGTCAGTAACCATATATCTCTCCCTCGCAAGTGCTATAAAAACTAACCTCCTTACCAGGCCCACAAGCAAAAAATCAAAGAGGAAAAACGAGAAAAACGCAAGGAGAAAATGCCCAAACACCTCAAGAAAAAAATGGTCCATAACTCAAGCAAAAAGAAGTAAAAGACCAACCTGTTGTCAAAAAAACGAGTCTTCAAACAAAAGCCTTCAAAAACCAAAAAGCCATGATACCCTTGTCGAATTGTTCAAAATTTCCCATGATTCATTATCGATTCATCCATTTACGACCCTTGATATCCATTGGGCGACCTCCAGCTTTGACATTTAAAATTTGTAATTCGGGCCCATATCCCCACAGTTCCACCAGGCGTCACTTTGACAGTCAGACTACTCTGGGCTAGGCGTGCTTGGCTTTCAGCCAAACGACGATCGTGCCCTTGCCATTCCAAGGAAACAGTGGAATTGCTTCAGGGCCAACCTAACGTTATTATCTCTCAGTGCTGTATCCCATCGGCCGAAACAGATAAAAGAATGGCCTTCAAAACCATGATCAAGGTCCTAAAAACGTAAATCCCTTTTCCCCATTCCCTCGAGCCCTCCATCTAAAATCCTCGAGCCTCATTAAAACCTAAGGATGCAATAAAGTTGATGAAATGGCGCCGCTCCACATTCTCGCTTGCATCTTGTCACTGCATCTAGTGGCGTTCACCGCAGCCGACAGCGCGCAAGCCAAACTCTCCGCCGCCGATGCAGTCGCCAACCTCCTGGCTCCGAACAGCGCAGTAACACTAACCCCTGCTCCCCAAATAACCAAACCACCCACCGCTCTCCAACGCCGTCAAAACAGCGTAGGAATCGCCGTCTGTAGTAGCTACCGCACATTTCTAAACTGCGAAGGCGAGTTCGAAACCGTATACCCTCTTTGCGCCTGCTATACATCTGGAACCTTCGCAGGCGATTACATTGACGGTCTCGCGCGAACATGTTCACAATACATCTACTCATTCGTCGACACTGCTTCCGCCGCTCCATTCGCTAGCTTCACCAGTTTCTGCGCATCAGCCGGTGATGTCGCAGCATTATTAACTTCAACAATAAGATCCTGCGAATCAGTAAATTCCATTAACCGCGCTTGTGCGTCTGAATCCTCGAATGTAGAGTTATACGGCACCTTCAGCGCCCGCGCCGCCTGCGCATGCTACTCCGGCTCCATATTCTCCGGCTCCAGCAATGACAGACGGGCCTCCACCTGCTACGAAAAAGCCAGCATAGCCGGGAATGCCTTCGCCAACACGATCAGAGAATATACAGCATTATGCACAAGTCTCGGCGATGTAAGAGCTTCAGCTGAGGACCTCAAAGCCAACTGCGGACGATTTGAAACGGTGTTTTCAGGTTGTTCGTCCGATACCGCCGGATTTGAAGGTCTACCAGCGTCAGAGCAAGCGAGTTGTCTTTGTTATTCCGGGGCGGATTGGATTGCGGCGGAGGCGGATAATGCGGTGAGAACTTGTTTGGGGTATGCGTCGAGTAATTTTCAACATAGAGTGTCGTTATATTCGCCTTATGAGGGGCTTTGCAGTTCGGCTGGGGATGTTAGAGCTGAAGCTCAGACTACAGGCGGAAGCGATAGAACGACGACGAGACCCGTAAGTTCAATTCTTTGCCTTAAAAGAACCCATCTTGCGTATCACACTAACGAAATCCATGAAACAGTCGCCTGCACCAACCGGATCCTCTGGTGGTCCAACATCAACAGGTTCCCAACAACCCCAGGAAACCAATAGCAGTAGCAACAGCGGCCTCTCCGGCGGCGCTCTCGCAGGCGCCATAGTTGGCGCAATAGGTGGCACCGCCCTCATAGCTGCCGTCGGTTTCTTCATCTTCTGGAGAAGAAGGAGAGTTGGTAGCAAACCTCTTCCACCACCGGCAGGATACGGTGGAATGGACGGAGACGGAGCAATTGGTGGTATAGAACAGGAAGTCGGTGGTATTGCGGACAAGCCCGAGTATCAGACTGTACCGATTCCACCGCCGCCGATGGCTTGGAGTCCCCAGGGCCCGCCTATGAGATAATGTTGTGTATACCCAGATGTATGAATATGGGCGGGTAATTAGGGTAGAGTAATGGCTAATGTCTATATAACGTATACAATGTAATGAATCCGATGCCTGAGCCTACCGGGCGCAGAATATTCCCCCACACCGTATCCATAAGATACTAAAAACACCTTGTTACCCTTACCTTATCTAGCGAAGTATCTCACCTCTCAAAACCCGTCGATTCAACCCCAACCCACAACCTATCCAGAACCATCTTGCGTTGACGTTGCATTTCCCACACCATCAACACCAAAAACACAATCGCCAACCAAAAAAAAAGAGAGACAGACTTATCGACAAACCTTCCAATCCGCCTTTCGATCTGTCCCATCAAAACGATAAAAAATTAGAGATGACCGAAGAGGGGCTCGATCCCTCGACCTCTCGCGTGTGAAGCGAACGTGATAACCAACTACACTATTCGGCCGCTATGAAATAACATCAGCCGGCTTCCATTTTGCAAATATAAAACTTGCAGCCGTTGGTACCACAAGAAATGTGGCGCCATATAAAAAAACCACTCGGGATTTCAACAGCGACGATATGGTCAGCGCCCTGAGGTCGAGACTAAAGAAAATAGTAAGGAAATAATCGAAATTTCTGTAGCAGAGAGTGGTTTCATTATTTATGCTATACCGTTCTGTATAAAAAGTAGCTACGCATTATAAACAAGTAGTAATAACCCCGAATACCATCGAAGGCTATAATCTATATAGCAATCCGCATCATGCAATCAAAGTATAAACGCCACAAAAAAAAAAGCCCCTTATAAAAAAATAAACTATGAAAGCATCCCCAACAAAGCCGCCTTCTCCTCCGCCGACAACTTCTCAATCGACGCCGCAATTCCCTTCAAAGCCCCCGCCTTACTAGCTCCAACCCCACCCAACATCCCCGCAACCTCCTTCGCAACCCCATCAAGCTTCAATTCCTCCATCTTGGCCGCAACATCCTTAGTGTGCTCCTCATACCACGTAGCAACAGCCCTATCATTGCCTTCAAAACTGTCTCCATCATACCAGTTCTTCAGCAACTCAAGCGCCGTCGCTCTCGTCATATTCTTCGATACAGGAACCAGCTTCTTCAAAATATACTCCTCATTCAATCGTCTCCTCAATCGCCAGTATAGGAATCGTCGGGCATTATACCACTGTAATTCCTTCCTGATCACACCCTTCGCCTTCATCCGTCCCGCACGATCATGCAAATCCGCAAAGTGTAGCGAAATCTGTCCATAAATCGGCATCAACAAATTCTCCCTCTCCGTAATCTTCACCTTGATATCAGACTGCTCGCTCTGCGTCAACGATTTATTTTCAAGTTGCTGCCTGAGTTCCGCATAAACGGGATCAAGTCTCGCCATCGTCTCGAGCTGCTTATCTCTCCTGTATTTAATCCCCACGATACCCTCTGGTTCCAGAACACCACCTCTGGCTTCCTCATCCGCATACATCTCCATCATATCCGCATTGATGGTAGGATCGATAACGACCCATGACCCACCACGTAACTCTCCGAATGGTGGGATGTACACAAAGATCGGTTGTTGGTACTTAACCAGCGCATCGACGATGTATGCACCGTACTTGAGAACTTCGAAGTACATATCGCGCTGACCGCCGGAGAAACCACGCCAGTTGGCAAGGATGATGAGGGGCAGTTGTTCACCCTTGTTGAAGTCATTGATTGCTTGGGCGGTTTTGAATGCGGAGTTCGGGTACCAGACTTGTCCGGCTTCCATGTTGATTTGTTCGGTAGAATCCGGGTTGGCGGGATCGGCTGGGATGACGTTTTCGACGGACCTGGTTTCGACGGCGATGACACCGACGGGAATACCGCCGAGTCTGGCTCTGCCGACGACGACGGTCTTGGCCCATCCGCTGAGGGTTTCCTGGAAGGACTCCTTATCGAAGAGACCATGTGCGAAGCCCATTTCATCCTCTTTACCACCAATCAACCATCTAACATCGTACGGCTCCCTCTGTGGAGGCATGTAGAGGATATCACGATCCCAAGGATCGCTAGATGGCAGAATTGGAACAGGTGAGTTCCTCTTATCCGGGACGTAAGACAACCACGACACAATCTTCGTAATCCCATCGAAGTCATTAGATGCGGTGAGATGGGAAACACCATTCTTGTACATGATCTGGGTTCCTCCGAGTTGAAGATTGGATGTGTAGACTTCACGACCCAAGAGCTTGTTGATAGCTGGGGCACCAGTCAAGATCTATACCATTTGTTAGCCGCAATATTACAACATTTTGGAAAGCAAGGGGGAAACTTACGATAGGCTGCCCTTCAATTTGCACAGCACGCTGTCCAAGTCTGACAAGGTAAGCACCGATGCCAACGGACCGACAAGTAACCAAAGTAATGGTGAAGATATCATCATAAGCCCTGGACGTAGCACCGGCGATGATACCCGATCCTCTCAAACACTCTACACCCAACCCATCCTCCTGTCCAATAATCGTAGTAATCTTATACCTCTCCTCACCTTCCTCCACAACTCTCTCCGTAATAACCTCCTTCCGTCCACTCTCCTCAAATTTAGCGTGAACGTTAGGCGTCAAGTAAAGGTACCTAAACCCAGCCTCCGGCTTCGCAGGATCATTCCAGGCAACCGAGAACAAAGGAATAAGTTCCTCAGCCATACCGATACGAGCACCGGAGTTGGCAGACAAGTAGATTCTAGGAATTCCCAACTTCCTCGCCAGCTCCGTACAAGCGTTGAAGAAGCGATCTTCTTGCGGTCCAAAGGATCCAATTTTGAATGTGATATCGTTGGCAATGATCACGAATCTTCGACCCTTGGGGTACTCTGGAGTCTTCGCGGTAACAAGCCATCCGACCATACCGTGGGTATTAGTACCAGGTTCCCGATTGACTTCAACCAAGCTATAGTTGTCATCGAGCACGAGTTCGTTATAGTCAATACAAGTACCAGGTTGCGGCATCGCCTTCCTAAGCTCCGGATGCTTCTTGACAGCTTTATCCCAGCTATTCTGAATAGCCTGACGGAAGAGCTCTGGGAAATCGTAGACGTATTGGGTTCCCATGAGGTGTGCCCTGTAACGCTTGGGTTGAAGTGCCTCCTTTGTAGCGTAGGGTGTGCTAACGGCGCGAAGATGCATGGAACCGGGTTTGCTGTTGCTCTCCAGTGGGATGCTGTGGAAGACCCATTGCTTCTTTTCATTCTTCTTTTCAAAGTAGATTTCGTATTGGATGACGTAGCCGGAGACGTTGTTGATGATGACACGGAGAGGGGTGGCGATACCAGTTGATGGGTCGGAGCAGACGATACGGATTTCAGCTGTGGTGACACGGAGTCTCCACGAACGACGTCCGAAACGGTCAATGAATCCACCGAGGGCGGAGAAGACCTCTTCGGGTTCAAGTGGGAAGACGGGCGAGAAGTTGATGAAGATGTGGTTAAGATCGGTACCATTGTTACCGATGATTTCCAAAGCATCAAGGATATCGCTGACAAGACGGTCGGTCTCAGAGATCAAATACTCCGGTGTGGGAATATCATCTCTAAGTCTTCCGGGCCTAACAACAGCACGGGTAAAGTACCTCTGATCGGATGGTACATTCTTTCCAACCGCCTTGTAAACGTGAATATTCCTGTTCTCAGTAAACACCGGCGTGATATTGAAATTCGACAACCGAGACAACTCAAGCTGGAAAGCCAAAGCAGGCTCGATATGACGGATTCTCTCATCTTCAACGTAAGTGGGCGCTCGGAACGTAAAGTAACCAGGATAGGTGCCATCCCTGTGGCCACAGATGAAGGTAACACGGCGGATATGGCGCGCAAGCAGCTCATCCGTGCTTTCCTGCATAAGAGCGGATATCCTCTCCGCGATCTCCGTATCCGTCAGGTTCTCAACGTCTCGAACGGCCACGTTACAAACGCCGCTGAGGTCTTCGTCGTCTTCCACTTTGAGGGGCTGTGGTCTTCTGCGGGAAAGGTCCGGCATAAGGCCGCTGGCGCTGCCGAATTTTTGGATCTTCTTGGGAAGTAATTCAAGGGCTCTGGATAGATATTCTTCTGCTTCGTCAAGGTATCCGATGGGTACAACGACGCCCTTCCTAATAGGCTCGGACTCCGCACTTTTGACAAGGAAGCTCATATCACTAATAGATCCTATTCTCTTAAATGGGTTGCCCTTGTCGGCAGTGGGTGTTCCAGGCGTAGAGGGTTGGATTGGCATTCCGGCATCTGAGAAGCCCATCTTGCTTAGACAGAAATCCCAGGTGATCATGAATGGTGGTTCGGTGTCGGTATAATGGTAGTCGACGGACATGAGTTGGTAGGCACGATAAGCACGTCTGATGTAGACTTCGAGGGCGGCGAGAGAGACCCATGGGTCAGAGTGACCGAAGAAGTGAGGAAGGACGTCGAAGACGGTGTACTTGGAGTCAATAACTTCCTTGAGTAGTTCGACGTTTGGAGTTCTATGATCCCATCCGCCTTCACCATAACGAGACTCAACAACCGAAGATCGCAGGATGTGCTCCATCTGGCCTTGACGCTCTTCAATCGAGGGTAGAGCGCATTGGATAAGCAATTCTCTGGCCTTAAGTTGCACCTTAGAAGTCGAACGATTATCCAAATCCGTCAACCTCTTGAGAGAAACACGGAAATGCTTGCCAACGGCGCCGACATTTGGCTTGTTGGGTCTGTATTCGTCGAGGATGGCAATGATCAAGTTATTCTTGGCTCCAATCTTGCTGTGGGAGAGAACAGCCTGGACGACGGTGTCGATGTTTTCCTTGTTCTCATCACGGAGTCTCAGGACAACATCTTCCTCTCGAGTATTCTGGCCAGAGAAGATCTTCTCCGTTACCCAGTACTGATCAAGAAGTGACGTGATAACATTGAACTCGTGAACCTTGAGCCCATCTTGGTAGCGTTTGATGATATCAAGTAGAGGAGAAAGCGAGACCCTCAAACCAGATGCATCACCGGTCTGCGAATGATCGTCGATAAACTTATCAAAGGTCTTCAAAAGAGTCTTAGCCGGAAACTCCGCCTTCCTGCCTTTAGCCCTATCAAGCACCGTAGTAAACAGCGCTCCCAGCTTCGCCGGCATCCTAGAATGCAACGCCGCGAACTGCGCACTCCATTCACCATAAGGAAGCTCCGGATTTCTCAAAACCTCAATCAACTCCTTCAAAGTCGGCGCCATGATAACCTGATTATCGAACCCTTCGAGTATGTTCCTAAGAATACCGGTGAGGAGTTCAAATCTCTGCGCAGGCTTTGTACCCACGATCTGGGGGTCTCCGAAGTTCGGGAGCTGACCCTCGAACGCGAGAGCATGTTTAACGCGGGATGGATCGTCCAAGGCGAGGATACCGAGGATATCACCTGCCTCGAGAACAGCTCCGGGTTGCTTGATTAACTGAACCATACCG